AAAATTTCATAGATTTTAGAGTTCTGAAATTTAAGTGACTTTTGAAAAAAAAAAAAAAAATGAGTTTTTAATGATAAGGGTAAGTCACAGATAAGTATGTAGATTTATGGAAGCTGAGCTGTTAGAGCACACAAAGACTTACCTGTTCTGATGCTTATCAACAGCTCCAGAGCATGTAATAATATTGAAATGAGTGCCAAACATCTCCCCAAATTATTAGGAATCTTTTACACATTTCTTTCCTTAGTCCCATTAATGTTGAGCTACATGATATGTATCCACAGTTGAGTAACTGCTTACAGCAGACCAAGTATTACATATTGGGCATCCAAATGAATTAGGCATTGTCCTCTCTGAGAAACACATGTGCAATAAATGTGGTTTTCTAGTAAGAATAGAATTGCATATCATCATGACTAAAGAATGATCCTGACCGAACAAATGACATCTGCACGATGATGACCTTTCCGTTGATCTACTTACAAGCAGTGACCTAACACAAAATACTTCTGGCATATTTTGCTGGGTCAAGTTCTGAGTTCATTACCAACAGCCTCAAAGTACTTTGGAGCTCTAGGTCATGTAAGGTTGGTGACATACAGCAAGTGTACTACAGACTCTTCCCTTCAAGGACCTTCAGAGCAAGTCAGGGCTCTAGCGCTCTCTGTCTCCAAGCATTGGGACCCCTCCCTGGGACAGAAAGCTGTACAACCCTCACTATCAAGTTGGGTTTTTTTGTCCCCACCTCATGTTAATGGTATAAGGGGAGTGGGACTTTATTTGTTTTATTTAATGTTGTATTCCCAGTACTTGAATCCATGCCTGCTATGTGAATCAGGACAAAATTATTATGAGTGAACAGTTACTGCATTATAGTCATGAGACTTCCCAGGAGGAATGTTTTCAATATGCTAACAGGAAGAGGTTTTGGGGACTGTTTAGAGTCAGTAGTAGAACCAAGGTGCATATTTGGGAGTTAACAAAGCAATAGGATATCTTGGTTTTTGGAGAAATAAAAGTTCCCCTCATTTAAAATTGTTTTCTGTTGTTACTGAGAATGTTAAAGCTGTCATGAAATGCTTCTTCTAATCATGTGGTTAATAAATAAAATAATAAATAAATAAATGCAACCTAAAGAAAAAAATTGTTTTCTGATTTTCAGGTTTTTAAATAAAAGGTTCTGCTCTGCTGCCCAAGCTGATCTCTACATTGAGGTTGTCCTGCTTAAGACTCCTGAGTTCTGGGACTAGGGATGAAACATCTCCTATCTATACAGGCTGCACAACTGTCAATGTGCACCTTCTGTCAAAAGGAGTTGATCATCACCTTCACAAAACGATATTTCATACCCATATATTTGAGGAGCCAAGATTTTGATACTTTAAAAATCTAATATTTAGAGGCCCAAATACTGACTCTTACTTTTTGTGTGTGGGGTGTGTGTGTGTGTGTGTGTGTTGAAATGTACATATGTACGTACATATACATATAATGTCTATGTATATTTCAAACACACGTGGTTTATGTTAAAGGAGTAAAATTTGTTACTCATTGAATATTTCACCTC